TGGGGCGTGTCATGCCCTCCAAATGGCCTGCTGTGGCTGTGATGGGCTCTGTCGGCCCCTCCTGCTGCAGCGGAGCCTGTCACAGCCGCAGGAGGGCCCGCCAGGCCTCTTTCCACAGTGCGAAGTCATGTGCGTGCCAGGCCCCCCACAATGTTAGACAGAACCCTGTGCATCTGGTGTTCTTTATCACACAAATGTCACATTCCGTTTTGGGGCAAATTCGCAAAGACGTTCCCACCGAACAGGAGTAAAGTATCAATCCACCTAAAAAAAACCTGGTCGATTTATGTATTAACTCTCCTTAACCATTTTTTATCTTGTCCCCCACATTGAGTACATGGGAGGTTTAGTATATGTACTGTATTTCTAATACATCCTGATCCAGACATTGGTCAGCACCTGTCTGTTTAAACTCTAAAAGCTTCTCTATACTTTTTTTGACATCAAGTGCTCTCAGTTTGTGTCAATATAGTTCAGGCGGAGACTTCTTTGCTTCATAAATTACTTTGAGGTTTGTTTATTTTTACTGTTATGCACTGAAGTTCTCACCCTGGGCCAGCAGGGGGATACTGTAGATAGTTTTCACTCAGGTCCACGTCAGTTATTTTAGGCGGGAAACCCTGGGTTGTTGTTGCTACAATGTTGACAGCTGTCTGCCTATAAAAGCAGGCCGGCTGAGCTGTTTGCTGTTCAGTTTCTGTTCCAGCTTACAAAATAAAGAGCTGCTTTGGAGAAATCGCTGTGTCGTCTGCCATGTCTACCCACTATTCAACATTTACAATCAAGCATTATATAAATTTTATGAAGTAAAATAAATATAATGCATTTCATATTATTGGACAAATCTAAATTATTCCTTCTAATACGTTTACACAGGCATCCCCAAACTCGGCCCTCCAGGTGTTTAGGGACTACAACTCCCATCATCCCTAGGTAACGAGACCAGTGGTCAGGGATGATGGGAATTGTAGTCCCAAAACATCTGGAGGGCCGAGTTTGGAGATGCCTGCGTTTACACATCCATGCAAAGTTTTCAGAAACCCCCCTTATCACCTACATGTGTTATCTTTCTGGAAGCTGAGATAGTAGAGCAGGCTTCCTCAACCTCAGCCCTCCAGATGTTTTGAGACTACACTTCCCATCATCCCTGACCACTGGTCCTGCTAGTTAGGGATCATGGAAGTTGTAGGCCAAAAACATCTGGAGAGCTGAGGTCGAGGAAGCCTGTAGTAGAGAATTGAACTATTGTTCATCCTTTCAAACCCTCATTCTAATGATACACTCTGGATTGAAATTAATGTCCGTGATAATTTTGGTTGATTAATGGATCTTCTCTGAGTAAAAGTTGAATACAACCCTCTGTCTTTATTTTACATGTTGATAATTAGCAGTAAGGCCCAAGTGCCATTTGCAATGGAGGGTAGGGTTCCTGTTCCTTTAAGAGTACAGTGGTAGCTCGGGTTACATACACTTCAGGTTACAGACTCCGCTAACCCAGAAATAGTACCTTGGGTTAAGAACTTTGCTTCAGGATGAGAACAGGAATCGTGCTCCGGCGGCGCGGCAGCAGCAAGAGGTCCCATTAGCTAAAGTGGTGCTTCAGGTTAAGAACAGTTTCAGGTTAAGAACGGACCTCCGGAACGAATTAAGTACTTAACCCAAGGTACCACTGTACTGCATCAGGAAATTGCTTCCCTCCCAACTCCTGCATCACAAAAACATTCCTTTTTCTTCATATTCCAAATGAAGACATGTGTGTCTTCACACCTTGTAACCTTGTCTTAAGCAATTTCTAAACATGGAATTGCCATTTGGAATGTAAAATGCCATTTTGTTTTACTGAGTGTTGATTTGCAACAGAAACAGAAAGGCATGCACTATCAGACTTTTAATGCATTTTACATTGAGATTCATTCTGTGAGTTAGACTACAGCTCTAAACAATTACTAGGCATGAAGCTGATAGGAACTTATTTCAGAGTAAGCATGCACAGCATTGTCCAGTAAGTGCAACTAAGTCTGTTAGTAAATCTCACTGAGCTTGGTGAGACTTGCCTGTGGAGTTGACATGTGTAGAATTTCACTGCAAGTCATAGAAATGTGATGAGGTCAGAAACAGAGCAAATACATTATTTCTGCTGTAGAGTTTGCAGAATCCAGATAATTGGCTTTCTAAGCTGCCTCCACACAACTACCGGGAGCAGGGCTACACCTCTGGTATTGGACATACTTCAAGTTGGCCTCTGCATGTTGTTGTTGACTGTACATCAAGAAAACTTACATGTGAGCAGCTTCTCGTTCATCAGCTTCCACATACCTTCCAACATTTCTCCAATGAAAATAGGGATGTTCTATATAATAATAACAATACCGTGCCCATCTGACTGGGTTGCTCCAGTCACCCTGGGTGGCTTCCAACAAAAGCATAATAAAACATTAAACATTTAAAAACTTATCTGAAAGCAGTCCTGTATAATAGAGGTCTTCTAAATGTTGTATAGTTACTTATCTCCTTGGCTTGGGGGTTGCATAACTCCATACCTTCCAACATTTCTCTGATGAAAATAGGGATGTCCTAAGGAAAAGTGGGACATTCTGGCATCAAATCAGAAACTAGGACAGCTTCTGTAAATCCGGGACTGTTCGTGGAAAATAGGGACACTTGGAGGGTCTGCTTCCATCTATGAATAGAGCTATTCATATGCAGGTTGTCTGGCAGTGTGTCTGATGCCTGAAATTATCTAGCAGCATGGCGTTCCTCCTGATAATTGCACAGTGTGATTCATAATATTAATGAGTAAAGGGTAGCCTACTGGTGTGACATCAGGATAGCTACCTTGTACCAAGCCAAACGTAATAAGACAGAAATCCAAATATTCCCAAGTTACAGGGAACCAGGCAGAGGGGCCTTCTCGGTAGTGGCGCCCTCCCTGTGGAATGCCCTCCCACCAGATGTCAAAGAGAGCAACAACTACCAGACTTTTAGAAGCCATCTGAAGGCAGCCTTGTTTAGGGAAGCTTTTAATGTTTGCTGTATTAGAGTATTTTAATTTTATTTTTTTTGGAAGCCGCCCAGAGTGGCTAGGGAAGCCCAGCCAGATGGGCGGGGTACAAATAATAAATTATTATTATTATTATTCTATCTTTTTGCATAGAATTGTTTGTGGTTATCCTTCAGTAGATGCTCCCACCCACAGATGCTATGGTTTAAAACAGGCTTCCTCAACCTCGGCCCTCCATATGTTTTTGGCCTACAACTCCCATGAGCCCTAGCTAGCAGGACCAGTGGTCAGGGATGATGGGAATTGTAGTCTCAAAACATCTAGAGGGCCGAGTTTGAGGAAGCCTGGTTTAAAATTAGGAAATTTAATTCATACTGTCCACTGGTTTGTATCACATGGAATCATACTGAAGAGCTTGACGCTTCCTTTTATAAGGTTGGAAAGACTTTTAACCACAAGCCTGTCGTGCTTCCACCTGTCAATGTTTCGTAAGAAATATTGCCGTGGAACTCTGCGTTATAAGAGACAGTATAAATTAGCAGTAAAAAGATGAAGCCGGCAAGATTAACTCTTAAAATATGTTACCTTCTCAAGTAATCTGAGATTCAAGTCCTCCGGCCCTCTAGAGGGAGATGAAACATGGATGCCTTTATCTGCAGTTTTTCCTCATTTTAACATGGCAATTTGTCAGCCTGCCCTAGATGGAAATCTGTAAAGGCCTTAGGTAGGCCTTCATCTTTCTGAAGCCCTGGAGTGTCCTGTTCATTTATGTATGTTTCTTCTCCTCTGGAACCTTCAGCGCAAGCTGATTGCTTTCCATTTCTTCACTATTTCTGGTTGTATATTTGCTTACAGAACTGCATGTTAGATGGTTCCTTTGTCTCCCTCTCCTATACCGGATATTCTCTCAGAGGGATTTTCTATTAGGGATCTGTTCCTCCGGCAATGCTGCTTTGTAACACACTGCAGGCCTCAGCAGGTAAAAAGATGGTGATTATGCTCATACGTTTTCCATTCACCTTTCAGATTATGCTTGTTCTACTCTTTAGGAAACCGTGAATTGAAGTCTGCGGCCAGTTTATTTGAGAAAGATAGCTTAAATGCTTTGATGGTAGCGATATAAGATAAATTTTATATAACCACATATTGGGCAAAATTGATGTTAGTGGAAAATAATAGTAAACTCAGGTAAGCTCTCAAGTTAGATACAAGGGGGGAGGGTATTCCTGTTCTTTTGTATTTCTTGTGATCTTTCAAAACTCATCTATAAGAAACTGCATTCAAGATTAAGTTCTTTGATTTCTGTAGAAAAACCTATTTATGGAGACATTTCAAAAGTTCAGATATTCAAAAAGACACTGCTGTGGAAATTTAGGAATAAGTAAATGTTATTAGCTATAGGGTTTATGGTGACATAAGCTTTGTCAGATGTATGTATGAAGGGTGATAGGGAGGAATATATAATTTCATTGTATGATTAACTGTCTTTTGGAAAATGAAGGAAATCAGGTTTTTAGACATTCAGCAATGAAAAAAATATATATTACTCCTGACTTGTGTTCAAAGAGGTATATTGCTCTATAATTTAGAGCAGGATTACTAATGTTTAAAATACCGCATGGCTTATGTTGTTGTTTTTTCTCATCCTAAAAAGTGACCTTCAGTGTCAGCACTAGTGCAGATTCATATGCTAATTTATTGTGGACTCTTGACTGCACAGAATGCCTGGCAAAACTTCTTGCTGCAGTCCTGGGCTTATTTACACAAATGTATAGTAAGGTTATTTTTGCAGTACAGATATATGCCATATGTTTAAGTGGCAAAACAGAACAATTTGAAATCACTGCCTGAGTTCATAAAGGCCCTGGAGCATCATAAATGGCACATTTGGCTAATCACCTTCCTCTTTCTCTGACCTAATTGCATAACTGAAGCCTATTGGCTGGAACTGTTCAGAAATGGCTTTCTTGATTTCAAACCACCACATTCTAACTGAAATTCCATCACAAACAGGGGATGGTCTCTTGATTGAGGGAACTTGATAATTTAGCTGGCTGTTGGGTCAGACGGGGGTCTTTCTGGAGAACTATCAAGATCTTTACTTCGCAGGCAAAGAAAGTAAAGTAAAAAGAGTAGGATAGAAAGTAAACAGTTGCTGGTGTGTGTGGCACTGTCTCTGAGGTGGTGGTACCTATAACTTTGTATGCCTTGCTGTCTCAGCTTCAGGGATGTTTCCATAGCACAGTCGTCAGTGTCTGACAATGAAGTAGAGTCGCTAAACTATTATAACTAATTAACTGCTAATTTGGATTAGAATGGCGATTTCAAGAGGTTAAAGACATATTAATTAAGCCAATAATGTGCTAAGAGTCCTGCCCTGCTTTGCTATCTCTTATGATGTAACAAGTAATTTAAAACCTCCTGGTAACATGATGAGTGAGACTGAGGCTGTAAAGATTGCTGAGCTGCTGGCACTAAAGTGCTGCTAATTGGTTTGAAGAGCCTCTCTTTAGCCATGACTTTTTCTTCTTGCTGAAGAGACTTAAACTGCTCAGGAAGGAGCGAAGTGAACTGAACAAAGAAAGATATGAGGTAACGTGTTTAACTGTGTTTTCCCTATTTCCCCAGACTTTTTCACCTGTGCCTGAAATATCAGAGAGATTAATGTCGTTATATATTGTAATTTGGTCAATTCTTCTATTGAGAATAGAGATATTTAATGATTGGCAGAAATGCAGGTCATACCTATCTGAGTTTACTTGGAAGTAAGTCCCACTGGTTTCAGTGGGGCTTATATAGAGAGAAGTGTGTAAAGGACTGCTGTTTATTTTTGATGTTTCTAGTATTTTCTGGTTTCAGAAAGGAGTTTTCAAACACTTCACCTTATTAAAGGTACTGTAGGTAAAAGGTACCCCATAGAGAGAGGTAGTAAAAAATGCAGTATGTTTAAATGACCAGCTTCTGATCGGTATGAGAATTGAGCTTTAGCATGTTAGAAATAATGGGTTGTAAAGCTGTGTTTATCCATTTTGTTTTCCAGGGCTGATTTGCTTTAACCTCTCATTTAGGGAAGGGGGGGGGTTAGGGTGTATGGGCAAGGAGGGTAGAACCTTCTTCCTGCAGACAGCTGAAATCCCATTCTGGAATTGTTGTTATCTCGGTGAAAAGAGGCAATGAGCACATTAGTTGTAGGCTTGGTTCTGTCTGCCCTGCTTCTTTTAAAGTAGTTTCATAGTTCTGGGACTACTGACTGTAATGACTATCTGGTGGATCAATAAGATCTATAGATGGTATTGTTAAGGATGTACTCATTGGAAAGCTGGCCTGCTTTAGAATTATGTGGGGCATAATCTACAAACCCTATGTGTTGTGCTGACATAATTCCGTGTCCAGTATCAGCACAAACAAACTGCTAGACAGCTCTTGCAAATACTAAGCAATCCTAGAAGCCGTGGCCTGGAAAAACCACAGACCAGTCACAGAGCCTCTGCCATGAGCTGCAATTGTGTAATACCCACATTCCACTCAAAACTGAGCACAGCTCAGGGCCAACCCATTTCTATCAGCAGGAAGGGAATAGGTAGATTTTGCACAGTGTTTAGGCCATGCAGTAGTTTGGCTCATAGTTGTGCCTGTGATTGCAAGGGGTAGGTTGCTTGAGTGTTTTGGAAACGTGTGTATACCTGTTGTTGTTTAGTCGTTTAGTCGTGTCCGACTCTTCGTGACCCCATGGACCAGAGCACGCCAGGCACTCCTGTCTTCCACTGCCTCCCGCAGTTTGGTCAAAGTGTATACCTGTAGTGTGGTGCAATTGTAAAACACGCTCTAAAAAGTGTACCTTTTCTTCTCTTACATTACTGTATAGGCTTTAAGCTCTACTTCATCAATACCATAAAATCTTTGGCTTGTATACAGAGCTTGCCTATATTAGTTAACTATGTTTGAATGTACAGCTTGAATGTACAGGTTTAACAGCATAAGCAGTGTTTATACTGAAAATATATGTAAAGTGGGTGTCCTTGGACATTGTGCTTGCATGAATCTTGTTGCATCTGTTTTAACGAGGTCATAACTGAAAATGTAAGACAAACCTGCTTGATTAGGCCAATGGCCTATCTAGCCCAACATCTTGGTTGACCCGATGCCTGTGGGAAGCCCCCAAGTGGGACATGAGTGAAAAGCATTCTGCGTGCCTGCAGTTCCAAGAAACTGGTATTTAGGGGCATACTGCCTCTGACATTGGAACTAGTACATGGCCATCGTGGCTAGTAGCCATCATAGCCTTGTCTATGACTGTATCCATTCCATGCACAATTTTATAAACCTTTATCATGTTTCCTCTCACTCACTTCTGCTTTAAACGAAAAAGACCCCAATGCTGCAATCTTTCCTCATGGTAGAGTTGTTTCATCCCTTTGATCATTTTGGTTGCCCTTTACTGAACCTTTTCCAACTCTTTTGTTAAGTCTTACAGTTCATGGTAAGACTTAAAGGAGAAACTTGTGCAAGCGTGGATTAGCGGGCGTTTCCCAACCTTGTGCCTCCAGCTGTTTTTGGCCTACAATTCCCATCATCCCTTGCCACTGGTCTTGCTAGTCAGGGATGATGGGAGTTGTAGGCCAAAAACATCTGGAGGCACAAGGTTGGGAAACACTGGATTAGCCCATAGGACAGCCATTGTGGAAGGTTACATGTTGACCCAACTGGTCTGCCTTTTCCTTCCCCTGCTATTTTTTTCTTTTGGAGCAGGGAAGAGGATTGCCAGTACCAGGCAAGTTCATTTTCCATTTCTGTTTTTTAAAAAATAGATTTAATTCTGAATGCTTAAAAAAAAGGTGAATTACAAGTATTTATACCGCACCCCTTAAGCCTAAAATGGTTTCCAGGGTGTCTTACAATGTAAAAACCAACAGTTAAAACAGGTGGGTCACTTTTTCTTGAGAGCTGCATTCCTGGCCATAATCTATGGCCCCAACCAATAATCTGTTAGTGGGGCCATAGATGGCCAGGGACAAGCTGGAAGGTAAATAATGTTTTTCTGGGGTTTGACTGATGGCCCTGTCTCCACTGTAATAGTTTTGTGCTGTTTCTATGAAATCATGATTATCATAAGTGGAATAAATCACATTCCAAAGACAGTGGCAGATAGGGCCACCTCATATTTTTATTTCTCTCGATCCTTCCCTTCCCAACATAAATTATGTTCCCGCACAGCATGTAGTCTTAGAAAACCCTTCCCACTTGCTGCAACTCCCCCCAAAATTCCCTGCTGGATAGCCTGCATAGTGGGGGTGGGGGTAAAAGGTCACATTGGCACCACTGAGAGCTTCTTCTGGCCCCCCCCCCGGCAATCCTGCTTGGTGGGAAAGCGAGACTGAGATTTCTAGATTTTTTTGTAGTGTAGGGACAGTTTCTATAACTCTGCAAGGTCTCAGCCAAAGCAACGTGCTGAACTAAATCTCTGTTATTCTTTTATTTGGCTTCTTATGTTTTAACTGTTGAGCCCTTCCCTGCAGAGCTAAAGCAGAAGCTTAGTTTATTTGATAGGCTGTTAGAATGGTTAATGTTTAACTATATGGTGTTTACACAGTTTTGTTTTTGTTTCCACAGCCATTATGCATTCTATCTTGTACTAGTATGAGCTTGTATCTATAAATACTGTAGCTAAGTTTTGCTCTAGGTGTGTCTTGTCTAATATAAGTGGTTATGGACCAAGCCTGCCCTATGGGTCTCCTCCCACATGCATACCACAATCCCAATACAGTACATAGCAGTCATGAAATACATCTCCTTCATCCCATGCAAATCATGAGAGAAAAGCTTCTGTTTTCATTCTGAGAGTACATTTTCTGCATTTTTGAAATAAAATTACAGTATGGCTCCACTGGGTCTTTTCTGCTGTACCCTAAACATACGCTGTTTTTGCAGTTTTTGTTTAACATAATAGCCAGCCTGAGAAAGAGTCCTTCAAAGCTATTCTATAACCTTTTGGTTAAAAAAAGGTGTTATCCTGTTGCTGTTTTTCTTAAAATTATTATTCTAGTGGATGAGCACAGCTGGAAGCATTTCATAAATAGATCAGTTCTGTCTTAAGCCTTATTTTTTTAGTCTTCATCATTAAAAAATCATGAATTATTTTCCCAAAGTCATTTTCTCCAGGTGGCTTAACTTTTCTGGCACCCTGGAAGTGCGGATTATACTTCACTGAAAGTTGTGCAGTTGGTTTTTTTTTAAAAAAATGTAATAAGATAAGCAGTAGTAGTTCATACTTTTCCAAAGCATTTATATATATATTTTCGGATGCAACACTTGACAAAGATTTTTCCCCCTGATGTTGTGTTGTGAAGTAAGCATTTGATCTCATATACATTTTGCTTCTGCACATTCTTCAAGCAGCACTGGCTCCCACTGTCCCTGAGATAAAGATTTCCTTGACCATTATGGTGTTTGTCCATATCACTTGCTCTCTTACCCTTCTAAAGGGAAGTCCTCTTTCTGCATATAACTGTTAGTTCTCCTTCTGCACAAAACTGCTGCATTATGGGGAAGCCTTGCTCCTCTTTTCTTGCATTCTGGAAAGTCTCGCTTACAATCTGCTTCTGCACAAACTGTACAAAACTGTTCCAAACACCAGGACATTCTTTTCCTTGTTCAGTCATCCTAAGCTCATGGAAAACAACATGATCTGCTTCTACAGAACTTGATTGTTATATTGTTTCATGTTATGATCCATCATTAGTAATTGTTTGTGCCATATTAATCTCTAGTTACAATTTAATTAGGAGGCTTCATGCCTGTCTAGTTCTAGCTTCGATTCCCAGCCTTTAATCCATCGATGATAAATGATCACATGTAATCCCCACCTCTCACATGTAATTCCCGCCTTAGTACTTATGTTAACCAATCAGCAACAAGTTTCTTTGTGTATCAACCAACCAGCCACAGGCCCACCTGTGGCAATGTTTGTAATATTCAATAAAGGAGGCTCCCAGGGCCCGCCCTGACAGACGCCTCATGTTACACCTGCCTCTCTCGTCTCCTGTGATTTTTCATTCCTACACCCTTCTGCTTTTATCACATATCAAACTACAAGTTCCACTTTAACTGCAAATGCACACTGCCTCATCCAGAAACTCAGAATGTTGCTTGTTCTGCTTTAACACTTCAAAAAAATCTCCCAGAATTTGTATAATAAGTATAAACATGCAAGGAAGTAAGTTTCAAGCACGCTCTCAGCAAAGGAATAGGCAGTGTGGTGCCTGTGGGTACCTTTGCACCTGCCAGTAGCTCCTATAGCTCCTTTGAGAATGTTTCAGTTCAGAAGGGACACATAGGTAATCTTGAAAGGGTTGCCCATCTTTTAGTTCCAGCACTGTCTGCAGACCATGGTGTGAGATCTGTGACGTACATTACACTAAATTTAATGAATTAATATGTTTCAAGGGAAGTGCATGACTCTTCCTATTGATTTTAATTGATGTGATAATAAGGGAGTGTCTGCTTACTTACACTGTAATCACACATAATATCTTCTACCCAGTGGAGTTCTTCTGAATGAAAGGAAGCACTATTACAGAAGGCGTTATGGCCAATTAAAATGATAGAGGCTTTCTGGGAAATATGTTACAATTGGGTGCTTGCATAAAATGTTGGGTTTGTTACTATTGAGGGCTTTCTTGGAAGTTGCGCCCTCCCTGTGGAACGCCTTTCCATTACATGTAAAGGAAATAACTATGTTTTTAATTACTGGAATTTTTAATTATTGGAACATAATTGACTAATGTTTCTAATTATTGGAAGCTGGCTCAGAGTGGCTGGGGCAACCCAGTCATATGGGAGGCATGTAAATTCTTCTTCTTCTTCTTCTTCTTCTTCTTCTTCTTCTTCTTCTTCTTCTTCCTCCTCTCCTCCTCCTCCTCCTCCTCCTCCTCCTCCTCCCTGGGCTTTCTACAGATTTGTGCTTATGTTAATTTTAGGAATAAAAAATGAGGGTTGAAAAGTTTAATTTGTGTTTTACATAATGAAATGTATGATTAATTGATCACAGGGGCAGTTTTAACTAGAAAATATACATATTCTGGTTTGTTTGTAATACTATACTATTTTTTATATAATTTGAATTAGGTTAAAAGACAAAATTATGACACCAATTGGAGCAAATTATGTTATTTATAGAGGCAGTAGTTGCTAATACAGTTTTTATTAACTGAGGATCATATTATGTGTTAATGGAATGTGCTATATTATGTATATAATTTTATTAATGCACTGAATTCTCATTTTAATATTTTTCTACAATTTGCCTATTCAGAGATGAGTTTTATCTTGTGGTTTGTTGAAATAGCTTCTATTGTGTTGTGCTATGAGTTCACACGGTTCTTAACTGCAGCAGCGGTGGGTAGTATTTTGGTACCATACAGGTGACTGCAAACTCATGGTTCTGGGCAGTTTTCAGACTTGATACCTATGTGTTGTATTTAAGCTGATTGCATTGACTGACATTAACTATTAATACTTTCTGTGATTCTCCCATCTATTTATCTCTTGAAAGTTGCACTTAGTGTTAAATAAGATGGAGCAGGCCCTGTGAAATCATACATGACTGATGTTGGAGTGACTTGTGCCCCATAAAATGACTTGTGAAATCTTGTGACTTTGTGGTGCCGAGTCCAGAACAGTTATGATGGATAGTGAAACAAATGCTCCACCAAAATTCCAGAGGACAGGGAAGCATCCAGAAGGGATTCTACAATTTACTCTTGCTGTATGAAAGGAGCCTAGCACAGCATGTAGTTTTTCAGTGTGCTCAGAGGGCAGTGAAATTGGCCATCTCCTAATTCTTGGCTGTGGAGAAGTCAATGGGAGGCCTAGTGCATCAGAAGTTCTTCAGTGACTGCACCCGGCATGCAGGGAGCCTTGGAAAAGACAAGAGGAGTCCTGGAATGTCTCCTATGCAGCACTTGGGCTCACTTCATCTGTTGAGGTTTATTTCATGTCAAGCAAGCAGCTACATTGAGCACTGGCCATTTAGTGGTCTGAAGGGCTCCAGGCATAGTGGGGAGATGTAATACTGGAATGGACCAAAAAGCATCAAGTCTTGGGTCCTCTCTGGAAATGCATCTAACCCAATTGGGTAGCCAGAACTTTGCCCCATCTCTTGTCCAGGCTACATTGTTTACATGATATAATAATGAATAATGTGATGTTGGAGTTTAAAATATCAGATATTTCACATTGTTACTGGGCAGTGTTTATTTTTTATGTTCTGAATAACATATGTTGAAGTAATTCTTTTTGTTTGTCATTTCAGCTATGAAGTCTTACATTCCATTTTTCATTCTTCTTTGGAGTGCTGTCGGAATCTCAAGGGCTGCCAAAATTGTTATTGTGCCGCCAATTATGTTTGAAAGCCATCTGTATATTTTCAAGACCCTGGCCTCAGCCTTGCACGAGCAAGGCCACCAAACAGTTTTCCTTCTGTCTGAGGGCAGAGACATCCCTCCATCTAATCACTATAGACTGCAGCGTTACCCAGGAATCTTTAATACCAGCACCTCAGATGAGTTTCTTCAATCCAAAATGAGGAGTATCTTTTCTGGGAGACTAACAGCCCTGGAACTGTTTGACATTCTGGAACACTATTCCAAGAATTGTGACATGATTGTAGGCAACAAGAAGCTCCTGCATGCCCTGAAACAGGAAAAATTTGACCTGCTGCTAGTGGATCCTAATGAAATGTGTGGATTTGTTATTGCTCATCTTTTAGGGATTAAATACGCGGTTTTTTCCACTGGACTTTGGTATCCAGCAGAAGTAGGTGCTCCATCACCTTTAGCATATGTTCCAGAATTTAATTCACTTCTTACAGATCATATGAACTTGCTAGAGAGGCTTAAGAACACTGTTGTATACCTGGTTTCAAGATTTGGAGTCAACTTTTTGGTTCTGCCAAAATACGAAAGGATAATGCAGAAGTACAATGTACAGCCAGCAAGGTCCATGTATGACTTGGTTCATGATTCTAGCCTGTGGATGCTGTGTACTGATGTAGCACTAGAGTTTCCAAGACCCACCCTTCCAAATGTTGTGTATGTGGGAGGAATCCTTACCAGACCAGCCAATCCTCTACCAGAAGTAAGGTTTGCAGAGTTTTTTTGTTTTTGTTTTTTACCTTTATGTATGATGATTTTGTACAACTACTGTTTTATACTCTGTTTTTAAACTTTTTTTCTGTGGCTTCTCAAGATCACAGGACGGGTGTATTTTGTAATAAGGTTTCATATGCTCACTTATTTCTAGGACTAGTGCACAGATTGCTAGACTTTTTCAGCCTGAGGGCTGCATTCAAGGTTAGCCAACCCTTTTAAGAATTGCATAGGGGGCACATACAAATAGCACACATACAGCACATGCACACACACAAATTTACAGGCACACAGTGTTCCATTTTTACATTCTGAGCATGATTTAAATTCACTGACTTGAAAGTAATTGCATTGCCTTTCTAGAAGCAGGTCTGTGAAACCAATTCTAGATGAAAGCCAACAACTTTAAGTTAAGAAAAAGCTAAGCAACCATTTTAATTATTTGGAAGAGGTAAGTGGTGGTTGCTTAAGTCAATATTGCATAGGGCCTTTTTAGTAGTGGCGCCCGCCCTGTGGAACGCCCTCCCACCAGATGTAAAAGAGATAAACAACTACCTGACATTTAGAAAGCATCTGAAGGCTTAAATGTATTTTAATTTTAATGTATTTTAATCCTTGTTGGAAGCCGCCCAGAGTGGAAAGTGGTAAGGCATTATGTCAATAAACAAGGGCAGATAACACCTCAACTATTTAGTCATAATGAATTTTAGTCTGGAGGTCATTAGGCAAGAAACAGGGAGCAAATTTATCTATCTGTGATTGTAGTAGATAACATACTTGTGATGGTTCCTAATCTCTTAAGTGAGAAACCAGCCAACATCAAGGTATACAGCAGAAATATGCAATCTTGTCTCTGAGGCTGCAGATGGCAGAGCCTGGTGGATTGGGGACTGCATAGATGGAAATGTATGCACACAGGCAGACAGAGTGCACAAAATGCCTATTTCCATTCTGATTAGCAGCAAAGGAACAGGGATATTTTCTCCGCCACACAGCTGATGGCTCATTGGTTGGGTAGTGGGGAAAGATGGGCATGGCTCCCCAAGGCTTTGTGGAGCATACAGAGAGCAGCAGCAGCAGGGTTTGGATAGCCTACATATGGTAGACAGTGATTTGAATGTCACAGTCCACAGTTACTTTAGCTGTACACAAGGGTTTGCATGCTCCCAAATGGACTTGAGGTTTTTGAACTAAAGAATTCAACATCTTAAATTCCCAAAAGGGTTTGAGAACTAATTCGAGTTAGTTCAGGCTTGCAAAAACATTTTCAAGGGGCTATCCTGTCCTGTTCATTGTACACACTCCTCTTCTCTCCCCACTCTGAATGATTCTTCATTGTGCCCCCAACCCCACCCACCAATATGCCTGTCCTCTTTCTCATGTGTACTTTATTCCTTTCTCCATCCCATCTGAATGAGAGCTGCTGGTCTTCTGCCCTCTGATTCTTCAGGTGTTAGTGGTGGTTTCCCACTGCGTATTTTGTTCCAATTTTATCTTGGGGAAATTTTGTTCTATGGTAATACTGCTCTTTAGGGAGAGTTTTGGGTTTTGTGACTATGTAATGCATTGTACACTTTATCCCTTGAGAGTCCTGATTTAAACATTTAGTGCTAGTATAATCTGTCGAACCCAGAGTAAATATGAATACTCTTGTAGATAATTCTCACAATTCTCATTATTTATTTATCTTTTATTTCATAAAATTTATACCCTCCTTAATTGTAGAAAAAACCTCAAAGCAGGTTATGAAAAAGATAAAAGAATAAAATTATCACCAAAAAATTTACACCCATAATTTGAAACATGCGGAAAGTTAAAACCACAGCAGATTAGACTAAAACAAATTAACAAATTTGTTACTAACAAATTCATACTAACTTTCTAAGCATCTGGGTAAAGGTAAAAGGTAAAGGTACCCCTGCCCGTACGGGCCAGTCTTGCCAGACTCTAGGGTTGTGCGCTCATCTCACTCTATAGGCCGGGAGCCGGCGCCGTCCGCAGACACTTCCGGGTCACATGGCCAGCGTGACGAAGCTACTCTGGCGAGCCAGAGCCGTACACGGAAACAGCGTTTACCTTCCCGCTAGTAAGCGGTCCCTATTTATCTACTTGCACCCGGGGGTGCTTTCGAACTGCTAGGTTGGCAGGCGCTGGGACCGAGCAACAGGAGCGCACCCCGCTGCGGGGATTCGAACCGCCGACCATGTGATCGGCAAGTCCTAGGCGCTGAGGTTTAACCCACAGCGCCACCCGTGTCCCAAGCATCTGGGTAGGCTTGTCTAAATAAGAATGTTTCCAGCAGGCACCAAAATAGAATGTTAAAATTATGATTAGGAAAAGTAGAAAAGAGGCATAAAGAATGAAGGAAAATGCAGCCACCCAAATTTTAGCTAAATGACTATAATCCTATCTCTACGTACATGGGGGTAAGCCTCATTGAACTTAGTCATAGAAAGAGTATCAGTGTGTTCAGCGTTATTCTCAGCATCAACTCACTCATTTTTTAATAGGATATTTTGGTATGAAACATTTTAGTTGAATAATCTTTATGCATATGCATAAAATGCTATTTTTGTTCAGTTTAAGTAATATGTAGAATTGCTCAAATTTGTTCTGTACGTGATGGTTGTTCTGTTCGTCTTGCCTTCTGAATTAAGTACAGTAGTCAATTTTCAGTGGGGTTTTTTCCTTTAAAAATTGCATGTTATGAATGCAAGCCTAATGAAATCACATACACATACATTTGTGCTGTAACTTAATGTGCATCTTCACTCATGTGAATTGGTGACCTGTAAGAGGGAAAATGATGTAAATTGAAAACTGACAAATCTCCGCGCATTCTCAGAGTCTGGAAGTCATGAACTGAGGATTGAAGCATTGAAGCCAGTAGTGCGTATGAGTATGTATGCACCTGTGGACGAAGTCCAGCTCAGGCGTTGAGAGACTCTCTCTTGTTTCCTTCTTCATTCTCCTTGTATGAAAGAAGAGTCATTTTAAGACAGTACTAGCAGCTGTCTCCCAGAAAAAGTTTTCAGGAAGGAACAGAAAGTACCACTCTTTCCTCTCAAGAAAACGTGGTAAGAAAGGAGAAAGTGCTTCCTCTCTCCCCCTGTTTGTGCATTTATAGGATGTTGCAGTAGTGACACGCTACTTGTATGTTCTGCAAAATGGCAAATATCTCTCCATTCCCTGAGACCTCTGTAAATGCAAGGGACTTGGACTTTAGAGAAGGTGTCAATAGTGACCACAAATAATGAGTTTTGATAGGAGGCAAAGTGAAAATTTGCGGTGTTCTGTGGATTAACTGAGCACTATCACTTTGCAAAGAAGATTAGATTATTTTGCAACCTTTCATAATGCTTTCAGCTTGGTAAAAACTGCCTTGCCAGACATTTTTGCATAAATAAAGGTGCGAGTTTTATGCAAATAAATCTATTCAGATGCCTATTTATGTTGTTTATCACTGCAATTAAACTTGTAAAAATGTTTGGAAGATGCCTGTTCTGAGTTTCTTCTACAGAATTATACTTAAATAACATAGTTACAGGTAGGTAGCCATGTTGGTCTGCCGTAGTCGAAACAAACAAACAAAATCCTTCCAGCAGCACCTTAGAGACCAACTAAGTTTGTTATTGTTATCAATAACAAACTTAGTTGGTCTCTAAGGTGTTGCTGGAAGGATTTTTAATTATTATTAAATAACATAGTGCGGGTGCAGGAAGCAGCTCTTTCATAACCTAAAAAAAATGCAGTATATATTAGGCTTTTGGCTTTTCCCATTTGCAAACACCGGTCATAATTTCCTTTATTCCTTCTTTCTCTGTGCTTAAGAAATGTGAAATGTTTCTTGTTAGATAGTTTTTCTTTTTCTCAAAAATCCTAGTGATTAGGTTATCTGGTAGAATTTCATAGATGGAGGTTCATAGATGGAAAGTGTTTATAGGGATAATGAGAACTGTCTTTTACTGAGCCAGCCTCAGTTTTCTCTTAGTCAGTATTGTGTACCCTGACTGGAAATGGCTTTTCCAAATGGGGCCTTTCCTACTTGGAGATGCTGTGGATTGAACCTGAGATCTTTTGCAAGGAAAGCATGTGTGCTCTGTCACTGATCTACAGCCATTCTGCCTACCCCATTGCAGCTCAGGGAGAATAAGTTGTAATGTTGAGTAATGAAATGTAATTTTGTTATTGTTGTATCATGAACAATAATTTAAGAACCTTTAGTTCATTCCTCCCTGACTTTAAACTAATCTCCTATATTTCTAAGGGGAGGAGCTCTTACTGTTGTGTCACTGCTTTGAATGAAATGCATATTTCATATTGGTAGTGAGGCTTCTTTTGAGCTAAGAACTGCCAGTTTTAGGTAGAGAATGCGACAGAATGCTCCCCCAAATAAGAAGCTATTTGCATGTAGAAAAATGAATGTTGGGGATTCAAGTAGGGATTTCTATTACCAGTGAACAATACAATTCTGAGTAGTTTTGGAATTAGTTTTACCGCATGAAGAGCCACTGATCTGTATTTGGCTCAATTCATGCAAATTTAAAGCGATGATATGAAATTTGGAAATATTGCCCAAACTATTGTGAATTGGTTTTCAGGTGTTTGTGAATTAATCCTTGATCTAATTTCACTAGCTGCTGGTGTTTAGAATTTAGGCAGACAGGTTTCTTTTTCCGCTGATAGTTTGTACTTGTAACAGCTATACAGTGGTCCCTCGGGTTAAGAACTTAATTTGTTCTGGAGGTCCATTCTTAACCTGAAACTGTTCATAACCTGAAGTACCACTTTAGCTAATGGGGCCTCCTGCTGCCACCGTACAATTTCTGTTCTCATCCTGAAGCAAAGTTCTTAACCCGAGGTAATATTTCTGGGTTAGCGGAGTCTGTAACCTGAAGCGTCTGTAACCCGAGCAGTGGCGTAGCGTGGGTTGTCAGCACCCGGGGCAAGGCAAGTAATTTGCGCCCCCTAACCCGTGGATTTGCGCCC